CGGCTTCAGCAGCTTCGGCCTTCTCTAGAGCTAAAGTTTGAACTTTCGTTGCAGCCTCGGCCTGGTCCTCCAGTTTTTTCATTTTTGCTTCAAGGGCCCTTATCTCTCTCTTCATTGAAGATGCTTCCCTTTTCATATCAACCAACCTTTGACGATTTTCAAAGGATTGCATGGAAAATGAGTGGGCATACTGAATGGCCTACAGAAAGAACAGAAATGTGAGACAGTACTCTCAGTAAAGAACGGAAGAAAGAATCACAAGTACAAATAGAAATACTTACTTGAGCAGAATGTTGGAGCATAAGAGCGTAATTTTCATACTCACTAAGCTTGGCATTTCGCTCCAAGTCATTTGGTAGAAGAAGAGCAGTGCTGAGGGCGACAGCAACATTAATGTCGTCAGCACTTTCACTAGCCATGATGGGCCTATCCTCCAGGGATAGATCAGGGGCCCAGGGGACATCGGGCTTCTTCGAAGCCGAGGTCGTCGCAGACGATGACCTTGGCCGCTTTGATTGTGTAGACCCTGAGGGTTGGCCCTCAGCAGATCTCTTTGTTGAAGTAGAGGCTGATTTTTTGCTTTCAGCTAGCTTCGAAATCGGCATAGCATCCTCAGCCTCGGCATCTGTGGCCTTGGCCTTAGGCTGAGCCTTTTTAACTCTCTTTGGTTTGGGTGGGAGCATTGATTGCGTTGGTGCGGCTTCGGCGTCAGTTGGAAGGTCGGCAAGAAGGTCTTGGACAACAAGCCTTGGACGAACCATTTCGGCAGTCTTTACGAGCTTTCGTCGGCGTTTACGTTCAGGAATTGGTATTAAGTAAGGGGCCGAAGTTGATGGAAGATCGGCTGGGTCAGATGTGGACTCTTGATCTGTTCGGGATGTAGAAGCAGTTAAGGTTGTGGCTGTGGGTGGAGAAAGACTCTTCTTCCTTTTTCTAGGGATGTCGGGTAAGGTGGATTTGTATGTAGGGATGAAGTTTAGTAATACTGGGGCTTTTCGTTTATGGATTGGAAGGCCAAGAAGTGTTTTCAGATCTGTTCCTGGGAAGAAGGATTGGCGAAAATTTTTCGGTGGCTGATGAAGATCTGCAGAGAGACAGACGTCAGAAACAAAAAATATTAAAATTTTAAATAAAAACAACTAAGTGTTGACTCAGGGCTCTTACTCTTGCCCTCTGTAAGTGTTCGAGGAAGAGGGTAGAGGTGGACATCTTCATCTGGGCCAAATTCCCAATTTCCAGAAGCAATGAGAAAATCATCTCCAGCCCCCTTGTTGGAATCTGGGAGGTCGGCTATAATTTTGTATTGAGTAGATCTCGGCTTAAGGTAATAGACGAAACCCCTATCCTTCAGATCAAGAAGGCACATAGTATAACAATATTGAAGGTCGGCTAGGGTGATTCTAAGGTTTTCTTGCCTAGCTAAAGCAATAATACCGTTAATTACCCTATAGGAATTGATAGTAAGTTGCATAGGGTTCAGCTTATAGAAATGGAGAACTTGACGAAAAAGGGGATCAAGTGGAAGCCGAAGTCCACATTCGGTAAAAGCAACTATTGGAAAAGGCATTGTATGATCTGTGGGCACGATGGTATCATCATCCCCAGCCAGCTTAAGATGAACGTCGGCTGGGATAGAGAATTCTTGCCTAAAGTATTCTCTTGCCTAAAATATTCAAGTTTTGTCGGGGTATTTACCCTATGCCTCCACATACCCATTATGTTGGCTTAAACTAAGAGGAATATGTTTTAGAAGGTAGGCGTTTTTCAGGTTTCCCTAAAGATTAAGGGTTCTACAGACAAATCCCAAATCTATAAGGTATGAAGATAAAGATCGAGGGCACAGATCTGGGGCAGATACAAAAAAAAAGAGAAAACAAAGATGAAGTTTCAGATTCAAGAACAGAGGTATAGTTTTCAGAAACAATAGAAATACAGAAAAAATCAAGGACAGCGGCAAAGAGAATGATGAAAAAGCATAGAAGTTCAAGGTAAAAGCCACAAATTCAAGATACAAATAAATCCAAGACCTCGAACAAGATCAGTAATGGCAACAGACAGACAAAAGCACATAAAGAGAATGGAAAAATTAAAGAAGAAGATCTTACCAGGACAAATGAAGCCGAGGCAGTGCTCGCCGAACTCAGAAATTGATTGCAACAGCAAAGAGGGCTTTTGCAAGAATGAGGGATTAAGAGCAGTTCCAGAAGAAAGAATGAGGCAATGGCAGATTCGAAGAAGAATGAGCTTTTCAGAGAGAGAAAACAAGAAGACGGAATGAAAAAGTGAAGAAAAGATAAGAGGCAAAAAGAAAAGTTTTGTCAAAAATATGAAACGGCGGCAAAATTAGGGCAATCATTACGCCTAGGGTAACGCACGCGTCAGACGGCGCAGACGAAATGAACAGACAGCTTCAGGCGCGTCATGACACGCTCCAATAAAGACGAAACACGTAAGAGAAACAGTTAGATACTTGATTATCTTTGAGAGATATACTGACTTGATCGTCGGAGTGCCCCCGGGTGGAAGAACCACCGCCGGAGCTTTTTCTTTCTGTTTCAGGTTACTTTAGCCATCTATTCTGCTTGTGCTCTCCAGCTGATCACTAAACGGGCAGTGTGGTCAGATTTTCACCCACACAGTCACTTATATATATATATATATATATATGTTTGTCAATAAAAAAATGCTAACAATTGGGGTTAATTACACTATTAGTCCCTCTATTTTGGTTATTATGTCATTTTAGATTTTGTAATTTCAATTAGATTGATTTTAATCTTGAATTTTTTTTTTTGGTCTCAAATTGGTCCAATTGATGGCATTTATTTTTTTTTATGACAAATGCAACGTGTCATCGGTTTAGGAGTAAAACAAAATACTTGGTCAATTCAGTGACTTAATCTTAACCAATCCAATAAACATTTGCTATCAAAGACCCTAAAGATGTCATCAATTTGACTAAATTGACGTAAAATCTAAAATTAAGCGTCAAAGCTGAGTCAATTGAAATTATATGGAACAACATCTAAGGATTATTGATGTAATTTACTCAACAATTATAAGCAATTGAAATAAATTGAGATAATTTCGTAAATTCAGAGTTAAAATCGAGTTAATTGAAACTAGAGGGACTAAAATTCAAGAAACTTTATCATTGTACAGGAGAGCAATTTGAAATTTTATTTTTCCTGTTAGGTCATATAAAGTCGTTGATCAATTTTGTACATGTGACAAGAATAGTTAAAAAAAACATGTCATATTGAGTTAATTTATTTATTTATATTTATTTCGTGCATTTTAAAAAATTTGAAAATATATTGGCATTTTTTGTTTTTTTCAAAAAAGCCATTAGATAGTTTGGAAAGTTTTTGGCTTAGTGGCATTTCTCAAAATGCTATAAAATATTTGTTTATGACACTTTTTACCTAATGTCATAAAAAGTAACTTGCACCTACTTAGTTTAGTGACAATTTCTAAAAAGACCATTGCTACTAAAATTTAGTAGCATCTGTTGATAAATGTCACTAAAATAATTTCTTGTATCATTCTTTTATAACATGTCATAAAATTGATGTGACATTTCTTTATTAAAATGCCATTAGAGCCTTATATGTTTGTGGTTCTGTGACATTTTTCTAAAACGTGTCACCAAATATTATTTTTGTGGCATTTTCTAAAAACATGCCACTAGTATAATGCCATTAAAGTATGTTTTGTTGTAGTGGGTGATGGCAGTGGTAGTGGTAGCACTAGCGAAAGTAAAATGATGGTGGTGCTTCTGGCAACAATAATAACGGTGATAAAAGTGGTAGTAGTTGTGGTGGTGTTGATGGCATAATGATGGCGGTAGTGGTAGCGGTGGCATAGGCATAGTGGTGGTGGTGGTGGTGGTGGTGGTAGTAAAATGATGGTAGTGCTTAACAATGGTGATAAAGGTGGTGGTAGTAGTGATGGTGGTGGTGGCGGCGGTAATGGTGATAGGGTGGCAGTTGCAATGGCATGGTGATAGTGGTAACAATAGCGATGGTAGTGGTAGTGGCAGTGGCAGTAGTAGTAATGGCGGTGGCGGTGGCGGTGGCGGTGGCGCTAGCAGTGGTAGTGGTAGTGGCAGTGGCAGTAGTAGTAATGGCGGTGGCGGTGGCGCTAGCAGTAGCAGTGGCAGTGGCATGATGGCAGCGGTAGCGGTGGTGGTGGTGATGGTATTGGTGGTGGTGGTGGCTAGTTTGTAATAGTATATATTTTTGAACATTTTGTAATAGTATATATTGATGTTATGTTTAATATTTATAAATTCAGTTAGAATTAAGTAAATTTCATATAACTTTTTTTTTCTTTTTTCTTTTTTCTTTTTTCTTTTTTTTTTAATTTTAGCCTATATTTTAAGAGACTTAAATTTTTAAATGATATTAATTATGGTTATCAAACGAGTTTAATTGATTGTCATTTAATACATTTAATTTTAAGTGTTGAATATGGTTATCAAACACCCGTTTAAATTATTTTCTTATATTACAATAAGTCTTATAGGTGACATAATTATCAAAATACCCCTAATAATAATATTTACATTAACAGTGTGAACGTTCCTTTCACACTGTTAATGTGAATATTCATATTGTAAAATATAAATGTTCACATCATATCAAGTTGCTAATTGTTCAAAAAATATTTGTAAGGGTAAAATTATCCATAAAATATATGAAATACGAGAATTAGGATTTGAAGAATCAAATGTCTACATAATAAGACTTATTAGAATAAAAGAATATGTTATGAATTAATTGAGATATAAATACTCAAAAAAAAAAATTCTAATTAAATTTTATTCAATTAAATTTTATCTCTTTATTTGCTTATTTACTATGTATTAAGATTATGCCTTTTTGGGTGGATAATATGAAGATAATATTGATCTTACAAATCTTTATATTTATTGCAAAAGAGAATGTAGGCAAAAATTCATTTATCTATATATATAATGCAAGATGGTTTCTGCCTTCACTTGCAATCACAACTTACATCTCTTTGAGCAACATGGGTGTAAAGCCATGTCATGGGCTACTAATACTACCCCTGCTTTTCTCTTACATTCTCTCATCTACTGCTATGCCTACATCAAGTAAGCTCTTTTGCTGTTTTTTTTTTTTTTTTTTTTTTTTTTTTTACATGTATATATCAGTGACATAATTGCATAAATTTTTAATGTTGTCAGGGAGCCTGATCTCAATTAAGAAAGATACATTGGCCACCAATTTACTGGCTCAGGTTCTCTCTCTCTCTCTCTCTCTCTCAAGCATGCATAGGATACGGCTTACCATGATTTTAAATACCGGCAGAGCTGGCTTCGGGTACAAGTCGGCGAAAACATCGTTTTGGGCTTCCAAAAAAACAAAAAAAAAATCCTAAAATTTTGTTAACTATTATAGTAGTTTATAAAAAAAATCTCACTGAAATTTAAAAGGTCTCAATAAAATTTGCTTATGATTTAAAATTAATAAATACTTGATTTGGTAAATTATTTAAAATTAATATATAGTTGTTTTTTATGGAAAGAAATTAAAAAAACTTATTGATGTGGTGAATTGTTTGAAATTATTGAATGATTATTTTGCTAACGTATGAATCATGTATAGAATATGATTGATTATACTACTTACAGTTGCTCTTTTCAAATTAAAATTGATTAAATCTTGCATTTACTCAACTATGTCAAATGAAATATTAAATAGATTAGCAATTTTATCTATAAAAAATGATTTATAGCTTATAAATTGGATTATGTGAATTAGATTAGCAATTTTACAGCTAAAAATGCGAAAAAAATAATGTTTAAGTAATTTTTGTTACATTTTGTTTACTTTTTATTTGATAGTTCAACTTAGATTATTTTGATCGTTTTTCTTACTGTAAACTTTAATGTATATTCAAATAAATTTTAATAGATATATATTATCAATAATAGATATATATGGGATGTAACCTTTTAACAAGTACGGTCAAATACCAAAAAAAATTTAATCGCATAGTTATTATTATTTGTTAAATATGTATATAATGTCCCGTATTAAAAGTTCACTTTAAATCTCGAAAAAGTCAAAGCTGGTCTTGAATGGCTGTTATTAAGAGGCATATTGGTATTAATTGTAGTATAATAGTACTAAAAATCAAGTGTATTAACAAAACCGACTAACTATGAATGGATATATCAGTTATGAATTGATACATAATCGGTCTATACAATTGTCATCTTCATTCAATCTGTTAAAATAAATAAAAATTTAATCGCATAGTTATTATTATTTGTTAAATATGTATATAATGTCCCGTATTAAAAGTTCACTTTAAATCTCGAAAAAGTCAAAGCTGGTCTTGAATGGCTGTTATTAAGAGGCATATTGGTATTAATTGTAGTATAATAGTACTAAAAATCAAGTGTATTAGCAAAACCGACTAACTATGAATGGATATATCAGTTATGAATTGATACATAATCGGTCTATACAATTGTCATCTTCATTCAATCAATATACTGATATCTGAAATAATAACACAAGATTTGGGTAAATCTTGTAGGGTGGAATTGATGTGAAGAATGATGAAGGGAAGTTGACAGAGTTGGAAGGAGGAGCGTCTGGAAAAGAGAAGATAGAAATGGAAAGCACTGAGTACAGAGACCAAATAAGAAGCTCAAGTATGGAAATGATGATAGAGAATAATGATGAGAATGACAAGAAGATGAAGAACAAGGGGAGTATGGATATGGATATAATAATGGATTATCCTCCCACAGGAGCAAACCCCAGCCACAGTACACCACCACCACCTTAGTTTCATTTCATACATATCTATCTACCTATATGTGTATAACACTAACCATGGATAATAATAAAATAAGACATCTTATTACCATGCTTCCAAGAATGTGCTCATCAACCTGATTTCCATTAAGTTCTGCTGTTAACTGAATTGGAGCTCTCCAACCAGTCTTACAAAATATCACCATCAAGGTCATCTTAATTGGTAAAGGAATATGCTCCTCTCTTTATTGAGCAGGGTTCAAACCTCTTACTATTTAAGTAGAAGTCCGATGATTTAAGTAGATCGGTTAACTTTTCTCAGTTTAACTTATTAGGGTAGATCCTAAAACACAATATATATATATATATATATATCTTTCACAATTTTTTATTTTATTTTTACTTTTATTATATTTAATTGTGACCGTAAAGTTGATGTGCCAGTAGTTGTGGTAGAGACAGCGTTGGATGCGGTCATGGTGGCAGAGTGGTTGGGCAACAAGGACAGCAACTGCTGTTATTGTGAACAGTAACATAGTTGGAAATTATATTAAGTGGAGTCATTTATCATATTTTTAGCTCTACACAAGCTATCAAACTATATAAATTTTATATATTTCTAATGTGACAAAATTAATTTAAATTAGTCAAATTATAAGCAAAAACAAAATATTAGAATATTAAACCATTGTTTGAATATAATAGTCAATAAATATCATGAACTTTTTTACTTACTGATGTGACACTTTTTAATTTTTAAAATTTATTATGGCATGAAATATCAATTAGTAAGAAAATTTTTATTAATTTGTATAGTGGTTTCTTTTAGAATATTGAAATTTTTTCTATAACTTTGATTATTATTTTTAACTATATTAAACCAATTAGTAAATTCTAAAATTAATTTTTTGTTTCCTCAGTTAACCAAGTTTAATTTGTTAAAACCCAAAAATTTTGAATAAAATTTCACATGTACTCTAATTGACACCACTACATTGGCTATAGTTTGGCCATGATTGTGGGGGTGCCATTAGGGGTAGTCGTCAAGTAGATTGAATTGTGTGTTAAATTAAAAGTTTGACCTCACCCGTTATCGAGCCTAATTTAATTATCTAAGCTTTATAGTCAAAGAATTAAGTTGATATTACATCATCTTTATTACATTTCTCTAAAAAAGAAAAACAAAAAAAGAAGTATCTATTTTTAAAAAATGAATTCTCTTAAATTGGAGAAGTCTTATTTGGCTTGACAACTCATTTCGGAACTCCCCCAAATAATTCAAATCATCATATTGTAAGGTCAATTAAAGGGATTATTTATAAATTAAAAAAAATTAAATTGATCAAATATTAGCAACTACGTAGTTAGATTACATTTGTTTAAAAAAATAATAAGGATTGGTTTGGGAAGTGGGTTAGTTTTTTGACTTTTTGGTTTTTTTGACTATTTTAGCCTGAGCTAAAAAGCTTGGTTTGGGAAGGGCTTTTTGACTTTTTTGACTTTTTTTGTAAGAGAAGAGTGTAATGATTATGGGTTGGATGTGATGTTTTGTTTGTTGTGGTTAAAATAGCCTATTTTATCTTTTGTGACTAAAATAGCCAAAAAAAACCCACAAAATTACTTCCCAAACGGTGTCTAAATGACACATATGACTTGGATAATAGACCATCCATTTTTAAGAATAATATCATCTGAACATGTGTTTGTTCTATTATTATTATTATTATTATTTATGTAGATGCTCTACTCAATCGACCTTATAAAATAAGCAGTTCAAATCATCGAGATAGACCCACCAAAACCCTATAGGACTTCTCCATTTGAGTCTAATCTGAGATAATCCAATCCTTATTTATTTTAGGGTGAATTACACTAACAGTTCTTATAGTTTGAGACTCATGTCATTTTAGTCCCTAACTTTTCAATTGTGATACATTTGACCTTAAATTTTGAATCTTGTTCCAAATAAGAATAATTGAAGATATCATTGCTCAATTTTAAAGACAAAGTCATCAATTTAATAAAATATAATTAATTTGACAAAAATAAATGTCAAAAAAAAATTTTTGAATTTTTAAAAATTAATTCTACCCACCAAAGATAAAATTGTGTAAAATTAATAAATCTTTTACACATTTATTTATTTATTTTACCAAATTAATTTTTATTATGTGTTTGCATGATGATCATATAATTGGTGATTGTTAGGCTTTTAATGTGTAATCGATATATTTAATATATAAAATATTTTTACTTTTAGATTTTTTGATTTAATGGATTGGTTTAATAATGATATCGAAATTGTCGGTATATTTAAATTTTGAAAAAATATAAACTAATTTAATGAAAGTAAAAATAACCATTCATTACATAATCATCACTCAAACACAAATAAAAATTGATTTGGTAAAATAAATAAGTAAATAAATGTGTAAAAGATTTATCGATTTTACATAAGTTGTAACGTCCCAAATTTCTAACCCAAATGATAAGACAACAATCATGACTCTTTTAAGGAAACCCGAATATAAATCTCCAAACTTACATTACATGATACAATAGTTCTTCATGCAACAATATATTAATCCAACAACAAGTAAATAAACAAATAAATACCCCAAGGGTTTACAAGTTTCTTAGGCTTGAACCTAGTTACACAAAACGGTTATTCAAACCTACACACATACAGCCCTTGGCTTACACACAGAGTCACAGCAAAATGAGAGTCTCGTACTCTCAACACATATTTCCTTGCCTTTAGGTAGGCGGCATCACCACATCTTTTCAAATACAAAAATCTCATAAGGTGAGCATGAAGCCCAATAGGAAATCCTTAACAAAGTATATACATTTTATACAAGTCTCAAGAGATAAAATGTACATTTCATGCTATGCCCTTTTGAAAGAAAATCACATTTTCATCTTTAAAAACCATCATGCTTAATGATGTCATGCAATTTTAATTCTTCAAAAGTTAACAATTCATTTCAAGAGTGGTAAATATGACTCTAGTAATCCCTAGGTCGGTGTCTACAAGTAAACTATACAAGTACTATCAAATTGTCATTTTTACCGGTATTAACCGGAAGGCTCGACACCTATCCGCGCGGGTTTTCGGTCTTTCACTCCGGACTCACTACAAGAAAAAGCACATTTGGCGACTAAATTTTTAGTCGCCATAAGTCCTTTTTTAGTCGCCAAAAGTCGACTTTTCACTTTTCCCGACTAAATATTTTAGTCGCCGGTTTTGTCGCAAATACATAGTCGCCGAAGGTATTGGTGACTAAAAAATTTTTTGTCGCCAAAAACCAAGTATGTAGTGACTAAAATTTTCGTCGCCAAAGCTCATTTATATTTTTTAAATTATACATTTGGGGACTAAATTTTTAGTCGCCAATAGTGAATTATTTTTTTTTAATTTATACATTTGCTGACAATTTTTTTCATCATAAAAAAATTACCCTTTGCTCTTCCCAAGTTTTGAACCACCAACATCCCACATTCTAAACCTTTAGAAACACACTCTCTCCACTATGCCACAATAATACCACATAAATATATATGCAAAATATATTATTTATATAGTATATTGACCCGTATTAATATAAAAACTATATATATATAAATATAATTATTTTTATTCAATATAATTTATGTAAAAAATAAATTATTTATTTAAACAAAAAGGAAGCCACTTTTGGCGACTAAAAAAAATTTTAGTCGCCAAAAACCTTAGTTTTGGCTACTACCAATAATTTAGTCGCTAAAAAAATTAATTTCCGCCTAAAAATAACCACTTTCGGCGACTAAATTTATTTTTAGTCGCCAAAACGTCCACTGTTGCCGACTATACTGAATTTTAGTCGCCAATTGTCCACTTTTAGCTACTAAATTTTTCTTAGTAGCCAAAAACCTTTACTTTTGGCTACAAAAAAATTTTTTGTCGGTAAATCACCTATAATCGGCGACCAAACTATTTTTTAGTCGCCAAAACCTATACTTTTGGCTATTAAATTTTTTTAGTCGCCAAAAACCTTCACTTTTGGCTACTAAAATTGTTTTAGTCGCTAAAACCCATATAATCGGCGACTAAACTGATTTTTAGTCGCCAATAACTACACATTTGGCTACTAAACTGTTTTAGTCGCCAAAAGTCTTCACTTTTGGCTACTAATTCAATTTTAGTCGCCAATTGTCCTACTTTTAGCGACGAAATTTATATTTTTAGTCGCTAAAATTGGCTTTTCTTGTAGTGACTCTCAGGCCAACTTATTCAATATCATCTACACCACCTATCAAGACTTACCAACGTATTTATTCGAAAACCATTTCATAAAAACTTGTTTCTCAACATTCTTTTCTCAATGTAAGTTTTTAAATCAACTTTCAAAGTTTAATGTAATCAAATGAATTAATATGCCAACAACACAAGATGAATATAAATACTGTTATTCCAATTCATCATCCAAGGAATAACGTAATTCCCCCTTCTCAAGTATCCTCAACAATTAGTCATTTCAAGACTATTTCAACGTTTTGAATAATAATTTCCAAAATGAACAATAATTCTCATATTCCCTGAAATTCATCATTTACATAAATAAAATAAGAAGTTTTCCAAATATCCATTTATTTTGACACACAAAATAAATATAACAATATCATTCATGGATTTTCAGTCTCATAAAAAAATTCCCAAATTCTAGGTTTTCTCACCAAAACTATACAACTCAAATCTTTTGAAAGAAAACTTTCTAAAATCATCTTTTCTTCAATCAACGAAGATCAAAACTCATAAGATCATTTTAAAAGAACAAGAGACAAACCCACTTTCAAAATCACTCAACTTCTTGAATCAACAATCAATTTTCAAAGCTATCGAAAGATGATTTTGAAAATCATATAGATCTTGCAAATTTACATATATATAACTGTAAGAAAATCCCTACCTCAACTTTTGAAGAAGAAATGAGATGAAACCCCCAAAATTAACGGTGTCGAAACTCGATCTTCACCGCACATAACAAAGCCCTCGAGAAGTTAACTAGCTTTGATGAATAACTTATGGTAGAACTCTAATGGATCTTGAGAAATCAAGGTTTTG